GACAGGTGGGTGGTCTCCCAAACAAAAATCTATGATCTTAAAAATGCTACTGAAACAGAAACCTCGGCATGAATCCCAGCACTAGCATACAGCAAAAGGCACCACGAGAGTTTTGTTTTCTATTGTTAAGTAGTCAAAAATTGGCCCACTTTTTTTTTTAACTTTATTGTTTGTTTTCTTCTTCTTTTTTTTTTTTTTTTACTTTTTTTTTTCTTGGAAGCTGTAAATCAAGACATTACATATAAATAGAGATTCCCTATAAAAAAGTCATTGCCGTTAGCTATTATAAGACAACTTTGCTAAAATGAAAATAAAACATTTTATTTGTTATATTTTTCCCTCTTTTATATAAAATAAAAATATTTCTTTTTGTTTTGTTTTGTCGCCTCTCCCTCCTTCGCCTCCTCCATGTGGGTTACGTCTGTGGGCACGCAAGTCTGGGAGGTGCCTAGAGAGGATCTGGGTCCGGTTTGGGCGTCGTGTGCGCCAGGCTGCTGCACCCGCTCTCCCCATGAGCGCTGTGTCTGCTGCAGGGGTAGTGAGTCCGGCTGTCACCCGGCCGGTGGAGCGGTGGCGACTCTGTGAGCGCCGCCTCATTGTTCTGAGTGCTTAGGAAGGGGGTGCTCTCAGCCACCAGCTCCTCGTCAGACTCACTGTAAGAGGCGCTGCTCAAGGAGAAGGAGTCCCGGATGGCTCTGGCTCTATGAGAGATGTGCCCATTCAGTTTGGATTTTTTCCACCGCCTGTTGCTGCTGGCTGTTTTCTTTGGCTGCTCCAGTGCTGTGACATACTCCTGCGTCGTCTCGTACTCGTCGTCCTCCGTGATGCGGAAGGGGCTGGAGGGCAGGCTCCCCATGCTGTCGTTTAGGTAGGTCTTCCTTTGGTAGTAGCTGTCGTACCTCTGCGTCTCCTGGAAGGGGAGCTGGTACCGCCGCAGGAGGGGCTGCTGTTCCTCCACGCGAAAGCTGATGGGGGCCGCCGGCGGCAGGGAGACGGCGTGTGCCGAGTTGGGGGAGGTGATCTCAAAGGTGGGCACCTGCGTGGGCATCGAGTAGTGGAAGTCAACAGGAGACAGGCGTGCTGGTGTGGTCAGGGCCGACACGTACCTGAAAGAAGCAATACCTTCATTTGGACACTGAACAACCCCAAAAAGCTCCAGCTGTGCCTGCACTCTGCTGAACGCCTGGAGCAGGGACCCATGAGGCCTCCAGTGCACCTGGTCCTGGAGCTCGGCATCTCCTGGGGAACCAGGCAGAGGGACCTTGTACTGCTGTGCAGAGGGCGGATGAGCTGGTGGCTTTGGTGGGCGCTTGGGCACCATGCGCCATGCACCCCAAGACTGGGTCTCCTGAGGGACTCAGTGTGTGATTCCCACCCTGTATTGCTGCAAACCTTGCAGCATCTCCCAGCAGGCTGTCAAGACTTCCCTGCCTCTCATCTGCCTGCCAGCTGTTTTTTGTTCCCTCCAGTGAACCCTTCCAGCTTGTCCAGTGCCTTCTTACCCATGTGTCTTGTGAAGTATGAGATGTCTGTACGAGCAGGGTCAATCTGCTTGAACAGACCGGGGACAGGAATCATAGATTCATAGAATCATAGAATGGCTAGGGTTGGAAAGGACCTTAAAGATCATTGAGTTCCAATCCCCCTGCCATGGGCAGGGACACCCTCCACTACACCAGGTTGCTCAAAGCCTCATCCAGCCTGGCCTTTAATGTGGCCTTTCTCCTTGGCCACATGGACAAGTCCCACTGACTTGAAGGGTGACTTCCCAAAGTGGCCACCCAGGGTTGCCCATGGCCACCCACAAAGGGCTGGAGCAAGAGTGGAGATGTGCTTCTGCACCGTGAGGGACCAGACCCGGGAAGAGGATGACTGTTGCTGCCTCTCACTGGTTGATAGTGTCTCAGCTCTGCAGTTGTGTTCCTTGGAAAGCTGGGTCATACAGAGCCCACACACAACACCCCTGCTCACCAGCCCGTTCAGGACTATGCTGAGGACGCACATCTTTTCCCTGTATACCTGAGGGCCAGACCCTGCTTGTGCTCACCACCCACCATCTCAGCCAGTTTTTCTTCAGCAGTTGCTGACTGCAACCAGGTATTTTCCACTGCTCTTATCCCTATGCTCCAAACCTACATTGCCACCAGGTGAGTGGGGTACGGTGCTTGCTGCTTCTCCTACCAGAGTGGCTTCCTGGGGCAGTGGCTTCCTCTGGTAGGACCAGAGCTGGAGTTTCTCCAGTGCTACCATGGGAGTGCTGCTCTAGGACTGGGTAGAGGCAAACACTTTTGTGCCTGGCACAGAGGGCACAGCTCGCCTCTGCTGTGCCGGGGCAGCACCAAGTAGCACGGTCTGACCTCTCGCTGTGCGGTGAGTCCCGCAGAGAATCCACTGAGTCGCGGTACTGCGTCATGGGCCTCCGCGAGTCCTCAATGCAGAACGCAGCCCCGCGGCGAGCCCGTGCCTCCATGCACGCAGGGCTGTTGCATTTACTGGTTCCCACTGAAGACAGCATTATCCCAGACTGGGAATCTGAAGTCAGGCTCTCCGTTCTCTCCAAGCTCCAGGTGTGGCTTTCGTGTCTGTGGACCAAACCCCACACAGACAGTGAGCAAAGAATCCCCATCAAGGTCTTCTCCAAAAAGCTGCGTGCAGGCACAGCTCACACTCTGCTCTGCACGGGCATCCCATTTCTCTCTCTCATCTGCCCAGGGATCCCCAGCTTCCCAACCCTGCCTTTGATTTGCCTTTCTTTGCTACTCCTTGGTGGTTTGTTTATAGGGTAAAGAAAGGCAAGCCAGTGCTTACTGGGTGTTTATCACATCACCTCCTGATGGCCGAGGACAGGATGGCCTCCGGACAGAGGCCAGGGCAATTCTGCTTTGGGCTTGCAAAGCATTCTGGGTGTGGAGCAATGCACTGGCAATGCCAAGGCAAAGGATCTTCAAATGTGCCATGTGCATTGCCAAGTGACAGCCCCTCCAGAAATGCTACCAGAAAGGAGCCAGAAAAACACTTTAAATCACTTTGTGACCAACAGAGAAAAGCAAACCAAAGGTAGACCTAGATGTCCCATTTCCATCGGTTTAGAAAAGATTTTGGCAGCAAAATGCATTCAAGGAGCTAGACAAAAACTACGATATGTTGGCTAGACCTTGCTCAGCACTTGGAGCTTCACCTGCCCTATTCTTGGTACAAAGAAGATATCCCGTAAGGACTCAATGGGGACGCATGGGGCTATGTGGACACCGGGGGCCCACCCACCCTATGGCCACTTGGCTGACCCCTCTCCATATCAGAAATATGTGACCCATTAGAGCAACAGCTCTGAACTCCCACACTGCACCAGATGGAGCTGTTCCAGCAGAGGATTTTGGGTGGGGGTTTGCAGAGGAGAGAAGGTCTCATTAAGACTTCCCAAGAACTTCTTAATTATTGATGGCTCCAGGCACATGCTCAGCTGCGACCACCACATTCATTTATAACTTCAAACAGCGTCCTCATTAGAGGCACTGATCAAGTAAAATGGAGCCTGATTATGCCAGTAGTTTGCCTCTGGCATGACTTCAAGAAACACCCGCTCGCTGCACTTGACTCAGGAAGATTAGGTGGCAGGTAGCCAGGACCAGAGGCTATGCAAGTTAGGTGCCTCCCCACAGCTGTAGTGTGCTAATGCTGCCCTCCAGACACATCTTTCCATCTGTAGGAGGTGCCCAGAGACGGCCCCAGGGTCTCAAGACTTTGAAGTAAGTGTGGAAGGCCAGCAAGGTGCAGCTCTGCAGACACAGGAGCCTCTGTGCACCTGGCTGAAGCTTGCACACACCTAGCCAGTGTTGGGCTGCAGCGTACAAATAAAAAAAAACCTGGAAAACACACTGTCTAGCTCACCAAGGCTAGGACTTCGCTGGACAAAGGCAGTAATTTCCAGCCCAGCAAGTCATTCTTGGCTCCCCCTCTACATGTTGGAGGTCTAGCTAGAGGAGTCTCATAAGGAATTCACCTGAAAACCCAAGTTCAATATCCGAAGTTGATCTGACACACTGTACACTGAGAGTACTTGCTCATCTGTAAGGAATGCCTGAACCCTGAAGAAACCTGCCAGGAGCCACCTTTGAACTTCAGCTGAAAGGATTCATTGCATCCTGGATAAATGGCAACAAACACATTGGGTAATGAATTAAATAAACCAGGACACCTTTTGCTTTATGAAGTCAATGCAATGCGATCTATGCGTCACTGACAGGCTGTGGATATGGCCGCCCTGCACCTCACAGTCACTTCTAAAAGACAAGTGCTCTCCTAGGGAAACACTGTCACTTACTGGAAGAAGAACAAGAGCTGTGTAAGAGGAAGAACCCAAACACTGAAACTCAAAACAGCACAGGACTTTCTCTAGAGCATTCAAAGGACTCTTCTGGATATCATAAGAATAGGGAAGCTCTAGCTGCAATTTAAATGCTCTCAAAAAACACGAGAACGTTAGCTTCAGAGCCATGCTGCTCTTCAACCTGATGGCTATTTTGAAATGTAAAAAAAAATTCTGCCTCATCCTGTGTAGCAAGAATTATTGGTACCTTCCTGCTAGCCCCAGACTTCCAGTGAAAGAGGTGCCACCACCTCAGAGGCTGAGATTCGAAAGCAACTTTCTGGACTGTGATACATTGCAAAGGAGTGGTTCTTCTGGTGAAAAACTGTGACTCCCAAGTAGACCCTACTTTTAAGGAATTGGCCAAAACTTTTTGTGGCATTTTGTGTATTTTGCCTTCCACAAGGCAAATACATTCTCGATATATCAATCATGAAACAAATAACCTGTGTGTGCTTAATGCATTATTGCAGGTGTCCAGTGTGGTTGCAAACACAACTTGCAAAACCTTTCCTGGATGCATCCTCTTGTTTGTGCTTGTGTAAATCATGAAAGCATAACTTCATTTCCTCCTAGTTTCCAGACATGTCAGCGCTGCAGGTTCCTGCTAGCACCTCACTGCAAGTCAAGGATCACCCCTTTCCACCCCCTTCACTGACTAGCTGTGCCAGCAGGGACCCACAGTGACAACACAGCCTGTATGCCGGTGTATTGCCAAACATCAAGTGAAAATAGAAAGGGAGGTGAAAGGAAAACTTCTCACTGGCTTTGAATCTCATGGCATTATAAGGCAAACAGCAGGAGAAAGTTCAGGGGAAAATGGTATACATCACCTCTGGCTGGATGTTGGAGTGGCTGTGGAGCAGTGATGAGACGGGGAGCAGGAGTGACTTCCCGAAAAGGTTGTCTCTGTTTCCCTTCGGATCACATGCTCGGTGGCAGAAACATTCTTAGAAATATACTGTAAAATAGGAAGAATCATACAGGTCAGCCAACAGCTTGTCAGTGCTGACATAGCCAGATTCAGCTGGCTTGATCATTTCTGGTGAAATCAAATGAGGACTGAGTGAACCCGGCAGCTCCACACCCCGTGGAAAGAGACACGGAGGCTGGCGGCTCTTCTCTGCCTCTGCACTGTGGATGCTGGAAAAGGTCCGTGGCACGGGGACTGCAGAAGAGTAGGAAGAGCAAAGAGGATCCCAAGAGGACAGTGGTACCACGTGTAGCTACTGAGCAGAAAAATATCTCTGCTCGCAGGAGGTTATACACCCCACCGAGTAAGAGCAAAAAGACAACCACATGAGATCTGCCAGAGATACAAATCCTACAGAAACACCAGGTGTAATCCAAATATTTATGTTGAGCTATCCCTTTATCTAACAAGAAGCCCCGCTTTTCACAGGGACACTAAGCTCTCTGGGGGAGTCAGTGCTCTTGGGGCCAGAGGGCTGTGGTTCTCCAAAATTCCTTTTCTCACTTCATGGCTGAGACGCAACCTAGCTAAAATTTAGCATCCAAAGGGTGACCCAGCAGAGCTTGTAACTGATTAATTGTATTCATTTCCGTCAGTAATTCTTGTTTGGGTCTGCCTCCCCCTCCCTTTTCCCCACCCCTTTCAATGCCTCGGTCCAGCAAGGCACTTAAGCATATTGATGATCCTATTGAGTTCACAGAGTTTGATGGGAATCTCACAATGGAAGTCATCAGAGTGGAGGAACTGCCCTTCTGGATCTGGTCCTAAATTCTTAGATGGTTCTCATTGGCATGACACTGGCACCCCACCAGGACATCCCACCTGGCTCAGGACGCAACTTTTGGTGCGGGTGGGTGGGCTAACATGTTGCTCACCAGACCACCACAACATGCTTCAGCACAACACTGTCACCGCAGCAGCTCCGGCCCCCGCTGCACCGATCGCATCTGTCACACTGCAAAGTGGGGCTTGACGGAATAGCATAATAAACAGGAAACATCGGGAACATCTCTCAGAGACGAAAACAGGATCACACTTGATTCATCAAAACGAGCCTGTCCTGAGTTCCCTAATCTCATCCTGTGCTTCAAAGTAAAATCACATTTCCCTTCAGATGTTGCAGAATCTCATGGATTTGCTCAAGTTTGTTAGTGTTTTACTCCTCCCGCACACAGGTGCATACGCATACACATCCATGCCAAATCCCTGGCAGAAAATAGGCACTCAGTAACATGCAGGGAGATGGAGACAAAAGGCCTTACATCGGCCATTTGGATTTCCTCAGGATCCAAACGTGGATGGCTTGGCCCGTTTGCAAGGCTCCTGTTCTGATGGGCAGGGCACATGTTCTGCCGTAGATGATTATGCATTTGTTTTCTTTGTTTCCTTTAAAAAAGAAAGGAAAAAATCTATTAGGAAGACTTATCTCATGGGGCTCTCTACCCCCAGAGACAGCTGGAGGAAGCAGATGATAAAGGCAAGTCCCAGACACACTTGGTGCTTCGATGGTGTTTGTGGAAAGCTGCAAACAGGAAGAAACAAAGCATTCACCATTTGTTGAATGAAACTTCTGATGTTTTTTTCAGAAAAAGGTGAACATTTCTCATCATGGGCAATTTGGAAAGCTGGGTCCAGGGTCCCCTTTTGCAAGACAAGGGCCAGCACAAAGCAGTGGAGCCAGGGGCACCATGGGGCTGGGAGCAGAGGAGAAAAGCAGGGAGCAGAGGAGAAAAGCAGGGAGCAGGGAAAGGGGAAGCAGGTCCTGGCTTGGTCTTGGTGGCAAGGCACTTGACCTGTTCTGCACTAAGCACAAAATGGCAAAGTCTACCCATGCCCCTGGCAGGGCATCCACCCTGCAAGACACCCTGTGTCCCAGGGGCACCTTGAACTCAGGTGAGGTGCAGGCTAAGGAGGGAAAAAGGTGCTGTGCAGGCAGGGATGGGAGGCCATAAAAGAGGCTCCCAAGCCTCTTGTTCCATCAAGATTGCTCTGAAAGTCCCTGAAATGTAGCTGAAAGGTAGCTGAGACCACAGTTCCTGCACAGCAGCCCAGTGTGTTTCTGCTTTCAGGAGAGGAGCTGCTGGCTTGGGGGTCAGCTTTTCCCAGTCACACAGCATCACCTGACTGGGCAAAATGGTGCTGATTCAGCCAATAAGCAGATGGTCCCAGGAAACCATCCTGCTCAGGCACAGCCTAGTAGATGGCCTCCTTCAGGAAACCTTCCTGGGAATACCACAGCACAGCATTTCCTTAAAATAGAATTTGGTTGAAGAGCATGAAAGCGTGAAGCATGAACACTACAACTCAGTAACTTCTGGACAATTATTGTCTGTTAACCACCCATACTCACTTGGTTTTACAGTAAGCTACCACACAGACGATGCCCACCACAAGCAAGGCAACACAGATTCCTGTGATGGTTAAAACTCTCTTCTGGTAGAGCTCTTCCGCTTCTGCAAATGGAGAGAAAGAAAACAGTTACAAATGGGCTCCAGCACCAGGGATGTGTCTGGCTGCACAGAAACCAGTCCTGCGTGAGGGTAAGATGGAGAATGGGACTCGGTCAGACCTTCTACCAATCCACTGCCCGTCTCTAAGAGCTGCCCCAAACCGCAGACCAGCTGGCCCAACCCTGCTCACCCCTTGAGAGACCTCCACTCCTTTTGTCTCTCCTTACCTTCGCCCTCTCTCGCTTGGTGGCTCACCCTTTCTGCACTCAGACACGCTTCTCCCTTTCTCTTCTTTTGCTGCAGCATAACTCAGTGACTAAGCTCAAAAAGCCCCACGAGTCTCCTCTCCCCTCTTCCCGGTAACTCAGTAGCCTACCAAGGAAGCCCCCACGCATCCCCCACTCACCACGTACACGCGTGCCCTGTGATGCTCTCATCACAGGCTCGCTGCTCTGACGGACTCAGAATGCCTTTTCCTTGCAGCGGCTGCATGCCCTGGAGCTTGGCGGAGTGCTAGAAACCACCGAGCAACAGGCCCCAAAGCATGTAGGTGCTGAAAGGGACATCCTAGAACAGTCACAAAGCAGAATGAGGATGGAAAAGTGATAGCACGTTAGACAAAGACAAGGGAGTGGAGTAATTAAAATACAGTAACCAATTACAGTTATGGATTTTTAATGAAACCCTAGGAAGCAATTAATTCCATCGCACCAGGTAACTCAGATGCACACACAAAATTCAAGCAGCATGCTGCTGCTTCACTCAAATATCACCATTTGTCATGGACCACCTTTCAAACCAGAAAAGTCAGTCACTTGCATCAAAGCCCAGACTACGCTGAAAGTGAGGTAATTCATTCAAATTAACCGAAGCTCCAAGGAAATGCCAGGATGTCACCTGCAGTGTAACTGAACTACACCTAGGCAGCAATCGCACGGCAAGAACACCTCCTCCTCTGTGGCTACACCAGAGCAGATGCTCTTCTTGGTGACACCCAGCCATCTCCACTGAGACCAACAGAGGCAACTTACTTCTCCAGCTGGATGACTGAGAGGATTCAGTGCACAGCTGCCATCAGCATTTTAGTCTGGCATCTATGAACAATGTCCTCATGACCCCCTACAATGTGTTAAAGTCATTGGGGTTTGTGCCCTCTTTAATACTCATTGATGTATTTTTTCATATAGATTAGGCAATAAAACTCATGCCATGGCTGCTGTGCTCGGCGCGGATCACCATGCCGCACTAAACACCTCTAATGGACTGCATGATATTACCAGGGCTACGAAACAATGAACTACAAAACCAGAAGAGAAACAGGTCTGGTTCCAGAAACCCCTGGGAGTATACTTTACCAAAAAAGAAAGCGGGAAACAGTGAAACAGTCCAGATAACTGCATATTTAGACCAATTTCAGCTTGCCATTTTAAGAAGGAAAAAGCATTTTTGGAAGAAAAAAAAAAGTGCTAGGAAAAATGTTTATTTTTTGCTAACTCTCAAAATGGGAATGAAGAAAGATTTACTAAACCGAGGGCTGAGAATGACAGCCCTGACATGAAAATGCAAAACACAATCAGTAGGACTTGCTTTGTGCCTGTGCTGCAAAGGTACAATTTAAAGAAATAAATTTCCGTCTGTTTTGCTCACTCATTGTCCTTTGGCCTCATGAGGCACTCAGAGTGCTGGTGGAGTTGCTGGGAAGGCGATGTGTGGGGTGGTGTGGGCTGGGAATGGCAGGTCATGGGTCTCACTGGGGCCGAAAGTGACTGCACCGCAGCGGCTTCACCACCTGGCTGCAGCTCCTCACAGCCTGTATGGACTGGGACCTGCTCATAGAGGGGGGTCTAGGTGCTGGCTGACCTTACCACTTGTGTGTTACTGCAAGGAATCAGGTGGAGCTGGCATGGGGAAAGAACTCACTCTGGGGTGAAACATCTCCTTCAGCAATGTGTTTCCCTTGCACGGATGTCCTGTTCCATGCATCAGTAACCATGGCAGAAAAGTTTTCTTGCTCTTGCACACCTCTGGGACACAGATCCCAGCTCTTTCTTTCAGACAGGATTTTCAGAGAATTTATCAGAACCAAGAAAACCAGCTAGGATCATGCCCCGGTTATGGATGGCACCAGGCGAGAATTTTGCTACTACCCAGCAAAAGCTACAAGCTACTTTTACTAAAAAAAAAAAAAAAAAAAGCTGGGCAGGAGGTCAGTTTTCACCATGGACCCATCCATCAAGCCAATTTTTTTCAGATTTTTCACCAGCTATGTTTTTTGCCACAAAGATTTTTTTTTTTCCAAGCATAAATCATTCCCTTTGAATCACTGAGGAGGGAGAAAGAACAAAGCCATCAAAACTACCTATTACCTACATGACAAAATTTTTCGCCCAAGGCTCAAATCACAGCCTCTGTTTTAGTGATAGTGTCAGTATGGGACACTGACTTTGGCATGTCTGACTGTCCTGAACCTTCACCTGAATCGCATGGGGAATATTTCAGTTCATCAGAAATGCAGATTTATCCTCTCTGTCTTGATCTGACAGCTCTGCTATGTGAAGCTGTGTATCACTGCTACAAAACTAGAAATTGAATGACCTGCTGATAGTGATTTAGCTTGGCTCCCAGCATCTCATTAAAATTGATGCTCAATTACACAGTATCTTCATGTTGCACAAAACCATCTCAACAGTGACAGAAAGAGAATAGGAGAATGCACACTACGATTTGGTATTTGAGAAGGTAAGATCCTGGAGCAGGACTTGTCCATTTGTGTCTGTATGCTCTACAAACATCACATCTTCATCAGCAGCATCGTCACTCTACAGCAGCAAAGACTATGAACAAACCATGTGGAGCCACACAATGCCGACAGAATCACAGTCCAGCCATAGGTGTCACAGCAACATGTGAAAGTGAAAGACGAATGACAGGGAGGAGACAACTGCAGACTGGCAACAGGATGTGTGCGGTTCTGTGATGACATTGAGAATGGATGAGGAAAAGGACAAAGGGTCAACAAAAAAAGGGATGTCAAAAATCCTCAAATTTAAAGTTTATTTAAGTGTATTAGTATTAGCAGCACCACTTTCTCTGAAACACCTGACCACAAAACACATACATTTTCTGCAGCAGGGAAGAACTGCTGGGGGTTACACACCAATCCCCGTGGATCAGGTGTGCAAAAACCCAAGGAGAGAAGTTTCTCCAGATTCAGCTAGTGTGTGTCCCTCCACCTCAGGGACCCAAGTGAAAGACTAGTGTCCCCACACCTCTAGCAAATGGAATTGAAGCATCTTCACGTGAAGATCTGCTCTGGCTGACATTTCCAGGTCAATGTTTTTGAGTTAAGTGATAAAGATAAATCTGTGCTCTCATCTGACCAAGCCCTCCCTGCAGCTGGCCTGTATACTCAAAGGAAACCTTGCCTCAAGGATTTGATTTCCTGGGTGCTTACTCAAGAGATACTTGATATATTTCTAAAAACACACTGAGGAGAATGGAAAAAAAAATAATTTGATTATGAGCATCTGGGCAGGAGCAGGTAATTGCCCAAAGGGGATCTTTTTAAAAGCATTTAAGTTTCTGCAGTGTTCTTCCAAACTTCAGCTTGACACCATGATGCTCGGCACTACACCCTCCACTCTCACGGGAGACTACTGACTTCCTTGGGATCACTGTTTTCTAGACTAATTCTAGAACAATTTCCTCCCAGTCAAGAACAGAAACAAGCAGCTAACCTTTGGGAGGAGGAATGGCAAAACTCGTCCTGACCCTTCATAGGACCAAGTTAGTGCGTCTAGGATCACCATTTCTATAAAAGCCCTGATCTTCCTAAAACTTGCCTTCCCGTTCTTGGTACCCCTGCCTGTTCCCAAGTGGTGCCTGCTGGCAACCTTTTGGATGAACACAAACTCCAGCCTTTCAGTTAAATACACAAAAGCACGTTGAATGAGGAGACGTATGGCAATTGTAACATTGCAGTCACGCCACACACACCAGGCTGCTGCTTGAAACAAAGAAAAAAGTGCTGCTAAAAATACACGTGCATTTTTATAGCTTTACATCCAGATTTCGTGTTTTGCTTTGTTTTGGTTTTTGGTTTTGTGTTGGTTTTGTTTGGTTGGTTGGTTGGTTGGTTGGGGGTTTTTGTTGTTTTTTTTTTCTAATCCAAACATCTGTCTTGGTGCCAGGGAAGAGAACAGAACAGAACAGCTGATTTTTTAATCATCCCATTAAAGCCATAAATATAATGTGGGCAGCTCTTAATGGCTTCTGATTAATAAATGAATGGTTGTTCCATACCCTTTAATTCAAATCCAAGATGCTCTGCCAATGCAGAAAGAAGACAAGGAAGAGAAAGAGAAAAAGAAAAACAGGTCTGTCAGAGATCTCTAATATACAAACACACACACTGTGCAGTTACAGCAGGTTAGTTTTTCTGCAGGCTCAGCAGCAGTTACACAGAAGACAGTGTATGCTTCAGAGCATTTCCAATTCCCACCAGAGCTTATATAGATAGACACAAACAAATTGCAGTGGAAGTTAATTATGAATTCTTTTAGTTAATTATGAATTCTTTTGAGATGAGACATGTTTGTTAGTACCTGATATGGAATTCACAGTTTAGGCAGGAAAAAAAAAAAAGGGGGGGGGGGGGGGAAAGGTATTCTTGTTCTGAAACAACTCCTGACAGGTCAAAACACATAGCGACTGCATGAACCTGGTAAAAACCATTCATCCACCTTCTACAGGCAAAACGTGCCCCTGCACAGTTTCACACGCCCCTCTGCCCGCACTGGGCAGACAGATGTGCGTGCTCCTGCGCGGGACCCTGGGGCCTGCCAGCACCCTTCTGCTGCCTGCGACCTCAAGTCTGGTCTCGGATGCACAGTGTCTTCTGGCAGCATTGCCTGTAAATCACCTGATGGCGTGTGTCATCGTGCGAGTACTGTTCTCGGCGGTACTGATCACCAGCTGAACCACCGATGCTGCAAGGGATTAGTCACCCAGGCAAGGCAATGAATCCCTTGCAGATCTAAAAGTGCAAATTGCACCAGAAGTTTCCCTCAAGTCTGTGATCTTCCAAATTTCACTTCTGCTGTGGTTCTGCATTGTTTTAGAAACAAGCATGCTGAACAAAACACAAATTGGAGCATCTGCTTTCAGATTCAGACTCATTACCAAGTAAGATTGCAGTTCATCTTGCAGAGATAGTGCTAAGCAAAGTAGAGTTTACCTAGTGAATCAGTAATGCAGTTATCCAAAACAGGTATCCTGAACTGTAGTAATTTTCCTGCTACAAGCCTCACCCAAAGTCAGTTTTTTCTTACATAAACATTAAGGTTCTCCAAACTCATCACTGTACACAAAAGTGAGCTCTACTGTTCCCAATCACTATGCAGATTATTTGCAGCTTGGAGATTTAATAGCTACATTCTCAATAGGAACTGGTTTTTGCTGTACAGAAATATTGGCTTTCTCTTGCAATACTGATAAAAATTTGGACGGGGGAAATTAGCACTAATCATTATGGAACATGTAAACATGTTTCAACTACAGCAGGTTCTTCTCTTCAAATCAATGCTGATGTTTAGGATTTTTTTTTTTTTTGAGGGGGGATCGTTGTGTGGAGTTTGGTTTGTTTTTTTTTTTTTTTTTTAATTTTGTATAATTCAAAGGCCACAAAACCTGGCTGCTCTCTACTTTGCATCTCACGTTTGTGCAAAAGGAACGGCAAACTCTACCATGCGTTTCACAGTCATTTTGTACAAGATGCAATGACGTGGACACAATGTGGTGGGCAGCAGAGAACTGGACAGAATACAATCATCCTAAACCTCTTGGTTGTCACATCTAGCCTTGACCTTTTCCTAAGGCATACTACCATTACACATGCTGTTTCACTTGACACAATGACAAATGCATTTTAGAGATACGTTAAATTTCACCCATATATCTATGCTACTGATCCACTCAATAGCTGCGTGCTGCCTATACTGCCATATTTTCTCCCTGTTCTAGGATTTGCTGCAACATCTACAGCTACAAATGGATGCAATTCAGAACATTTTCATGTTTCTCAGCAAACTCAGAAATGCCTGTGCAAACAGCGGTGGTGGGCAGGACCTGAGTGTCCCCCCCACATCAGAACTGCAGTTTCTTTTGTCTCCCCAACCCCATGGAGCAGATACAGCCAGCTGGCTCACTGGATCTTAGCTACAGGTTCCCTGAGCAGGAGAGAAACCATGCAACCATGCAGCAGCTGGAATGCATCTGCCCGCCTGTGCCCACAAACCCTCCAGCAGCTTTGCAGATAGAAGAAGCCTTATCCCAGCCCATGCTCCTGCACCTGATGTCCACGGCTACTAAACACTTCTCTGTCATCATTTCAGGCTTTCTAAAACTCTAATCTCCTGATTCTTTCCCCCTCACTGTCAGCTTTGATGCCACAGTTGAGGCACCCAGTGGTATTTGAAAGGCTGTGATCTAAGATATCTAGGAGGAAATTCCCACAGATGACAAGCCAACTTCCTTCAAAAAGCAAAGGAATAATTGGAGCCATATTGGGAGATACTGTTATTTTCATCATACCTTTTTTTTGCTCCTCTGTTTTCACTACTGATCATAATAGCAAACCAGTTGTTTGATGGTATGCAGAAAAGCAGTCCCAGCACAGTAAGCCATTGCAAGAAAAGTGGTAAGTGCCAGACAGTTGTAGCTACAGGCATTGCTGCTGCATCTCCCACAACTGGACACATCGAACAGGGAGCCATTCTCCCCTTCCCCTGCTCAGGAGTTCCTCCCAGCCTAGGCAGGTACTGCCCTCTGTGCTGGGGGCACCGTTCAAGGGTAGGCTGAGATTTGGAGGGTTTGCCTCTTCTCTAAAGAAGAGACTGTTCAAAATTATTCAACATGTTTGAATCCAGAGGCTAACGAGATGACCCCAGCCCCAGGAAAAGCATTGCTTCAAAATGCAACCATTCTGCATTCAGCAGAGGGGTATCATTTTCACAAACATGGCTTACCACACAGTGCACGCCTATTTTATATCAACAATATACCGCTTGGTAACAAACATGTTTGAGAAAACAAAATTTCTCCTAGAGACAACAATTTGTTCTACTCTGGAGCAAAAGATAACTCTGACTGCACACCATCTTTGAAAGAAGTCTCCTTTGCTTTTTTAAGAGGTTGATCAGGAAAACTAATACATCTTTAAAAGCTTTGGGTTATATTTGCTGCTAGGTAGGGAAGATGCCCAGTATGATGTGCAGCACCGGAGCCGTGTCCTGCAACAGTTCAGTCAACCTGCCTTTCACTCCCCTCCCAGTCAGACTGGCTGTCTGGCAGACTTGGCTGCTGGGGATGCCTGGAAACCTTTTGGGCAACAGTCCCCTCTGTGGCCACTGACCTCACGAGGTCCAGGTGAGCACTCCAGCTCCTTCAGATGGTGATTCACTCCATGCTGACAGAAGTGGCTGCGATGGGGAGGGGTTGTGGCAGAGGGAGCCTTTGGGATAGCTAAAATTAAATGGATGAATCCTATCTGTAGAGACAAACTGACACACACCAGGAGCGCTGACAGAGTGCAGCAGTGCTCTCCAGCTCCCATGGGACAAGCTACATTGGAAGCAATACATCCAGAGGCTACCATGCAAATAAATTACAGTGAGACAGCACTGAGATGGTAGCTCTAGGCTGAGGAAATCTGTATATTATTTTTCTCACATCATCAGCCTTCTATCTGAACTCCACACATGCTCCATGATCACGGCAAGGAGCTAGGGCTGAAAACCCTGAACTGCTGTGAGACTCCCCAAATTATTTGAAGTGGGGGCATGGGTTTTTTTGGAAAATCTTGTTCCAAATCTGACTGATGAACCTTTATGAAAATGCTGGACTTAGGACAGAAATAATTCTTCCTAATGCCGCCATCAGTGTTAAGGAAACAGTATCTACTGGCCTCTTGAATGCATTACTTTGCGGTATTTGTGTTATTTCTTGTACCTAAAAGCTAAGATAGGCTCTCCTGTGTCAATCCCAAAGGAGACTGGACCTGTAGTTTGGAAATGTTCAAGTACCTAACTGCTGTATGTATGACAGAAGGCCATCCAACACAGAAAGGCAGTGCTCACTGGGAGAGTTGACAAAGGGAAAAAAGGGAAAAAATACAGAAGAGATGACAAACACTTTTTACACTCCTCGTCTCAGACACAGCACATCTGCATAGGACTCAGGTTGGATCCCATTATCCAGACCACTCAGCTGTTCAAAGCAGGGCTTGATGAAGAGTCCAGTGATGCACAGGCCTTAGACTCAAGTCCCCCAGAGGTGGACATTCAGCCAAAGTGGACTGAACGAAAAAAATCAGTTGGATTTCGGTACTACCAGTAGAGCGGGTACTCTGTGGAACCGCTGTCACTAATTTTGTGGTGGATTTTTATCTCATCATCAGACAGAAGACAAAGTCCTACACTTACTTGATCCGCTGTGACTTTGTATGTTTTTCTCTATAGTATTTTTTACCTGTTTTAAAAGATGAACAAGTGAAAACACTTAATCTAAAATATCCCTATAGGAGTAACACCTCAAGACAAGATGGCTCTCACTGAATTGTAGATTTATAGGATGACTAAGAAGGACAAAAACCTTATCAAACAGCTGTGAAAACTGGACTTGAGGCTGCCTAAGGACCTCATCAAGATGTCTAGTTACAACATGCATTATTCCCCCTCAAACATGCTTGGGTACCCCAGAGGGTATCTGAGCCAAAGAGCATGCTCCAAGGCACGAAACTAAGTGGAGAATTAACATCTGAGGACCAGCAAGACAGACCACTGACAATAAATAGTACTGACAAGAGTAATACTTGCAGCACCCTGGTCCAGGCTTCCCCCAAGGGATGCAGGGAGCAATGCAAGACAGTCCCATGACGGTGGGGACAAAGGACACAGTGCTCATGTTAAGGGCTGGGCAATATGTGTGAGCTCCAACTACTGAAAGTCTGTAAACTTTCCATAAACTGCACAGCCATTTGGCTTGTCCGGTAGTGCATCAATAAAAATAATTTGTTAGGTCTCAAGAGTACAAATACATAACAACAGAGTATTAACAAGCTGCTGTGTATTAGCATGCAATTAACTTTAGGACATCCCAAAGGGTAACCTGTACCACAGTCTAGGGGAGAGGAATAACCTTGTTATGATAAACCACAAATGCCCTGTAATTACCCAGCCACACCACAGCATAGTCATCACCCTGTAATTAAGTGGTCAGCAGTTATCGTGCCATTGGAAGGAAGCTGCAGAATGTCTGTGGAATTTAAA